TGTAAGTGTACACATCCGCAAGCCCGTTGCTAAGGCATACTTCATGTAGGTCGATTAAATTATGCGCCAAAAACAAGTTGACAACACTTGTTAATACATAAAAAATACATTCTAAATTAAAAATATAAGTTGTATCTTGGAAAAACCGATGCATCTCACAAAAACCGATGCATCTCGATTTGCTTCCAAAATTTCATTCATCCTCTGCTGCTCTACCGATGCACTCGCATCGTGCACGCGCATGACCGCGTATCGATACATTTCGGTTAATCTTCCCATCCCTAACTTACACTGATAGCCTGCACACCTGAAGCGCATCCAGTTGATCACCCACACTCACGCTTATAAGCAGCACTCACACACTCAGTAATTGCGAAGTCTTGTTCTGCCCCGGCTAACATTACTGAGCGTTTCTCTACACTGCCTGCTTTTCCGTTGCTTACCTTGCCTTGTTCCTCGACCTCGTCCTGCCAGCCGCCTGCCTTGTACCTCTGCCTGACTATCGACTTTGCTCCAAGCCGCCTGCCTTGAACTCTAGCCTTAACACCGACCTTGATTTTGGCCGCCTACCTCAGACCCATGCCTGAACACTCATACTGTGATTACCTGCCTTCAACCCTGCTACGTAACACTATTGTGTTTGATGTGAGTTCACACATGCATTACATCTGTGTGCTTGTCTTTATTAAACTGTGTTTAATAAATATACTGCAAATGGATCCCTCTGTGTCAGCCCCTTCGTTACACCAATAGACTTTCTGATTTCAGAAGAAGAAGCTGTTCAACTGTTCTATTGAAATCACTGTTGACAATACAAGAATAAGCTGGAAACACAGACCTACACCTCAACAGGGGGAAATGGGAGAAAGTTCACCCTTCTCCTTTTACCTCAAGCCCCCCCTTCTTGCCCTCAAGTTACCTTCTGATCAGAACACATTTCACATAAAATGCCCAAGGTTTTAATATGGTGTAATATAGTATATTGTAACCTAATATTCATGTTTGGTATCATTTTAAATGTCACTGTGTGGTTGGTAAAGTGGTCTTACTTTTACTGTAATATTTAATTTGTATATGTTGATTTGGTTTTTGGCTTTGTTAAAATCATTGCCAGATGCTCCCCCCACTTAGAGATGATTAACTCCTCAAATTCACCAGGCAAGGGTCTCTGTGACGCTTTTATGGTCTTGAATTTATGGCTGTTTGTTCTGAGTTGAGTATTTAAGGGAAATGGGCACAAATATCATTGAGATCTTGTAGCCAAGACACCCCGTTGCAGTATGTGAGTATAAAATTTCTATGCTGCAATAAAAGCTACTTCTCTGTAAACCCGTTTACACTAATGCGTTTTCATTTTTCTACAGTTACGCCATCCGTCCACACTACGCCAGAGTTTTCAAGCGCCAATAACAGAGCGTTTTGGAAATGCTGAAGAGGCCGTTTTCATATTAAAACACTGCTGCTCTGTCTTAGTGTGGATAGGGGAAATCGGAGACATCTGAAAACGGAGACAGCTGCTTATATGGAAGTGCGAGGTGATCAAAGTAATGTGCTGCAGGTGTGTGAGTCTGGAGGATGACGTAATGTTAGAAGTCCGGTGATGCTGACCTCTGCTGGCCAGCGAGGGGAATGACTGGGACCGGGCCGGTGACATATACATTATAGGAAATAAAACAATCATTCAATATACAGAATGTACGTGGTTACATTAATTATTAACTTATCTTTACGCTCAGCCAAAACACGTTACCTGAGAACAAGTAATAGATTCAAAGAATCAAAGTCAGGGAATATGTTGTTAGATAAAGACAACAAGATGAACTAAATATCAGGGGTCCATTCTTCGTACCTGGATTACTCAGTTAGCTGGATTTGGATATTGACGATTTGACACGATCCAGGATCGTTTCGTTCTTCAAAGCTGATCCGAGAGTTGTTGTCATAGCAACAGTTCTGCTAGCTCAAACCTGATCGGAAGCAGGTTCAATTCATATAAACAGGATTAGATCGGCTCAGTTCAAGCAAATATAATACAGAAAGTATGTACTAAATTCTGTTATTTTCTTACAGTAGTAGTTATATACACTTGGGAAAATAGTAAATATTTTTTTAACTATATATATATATATATATATAGTAACAGTTATGAATAAAATAAATAAAGTTTTAATTCTCCACCCTCGAAATGAAAGTACAAAGACTGCCACCTGCTGGTGTAAATAGAAAACTTATTGATATGAACTTTTTAGATCGCTTTAGTACAATTTTGATGAAATGCAGAATATATGACTTTAAAAAAAAAAAAAAGAAATAATACATTAATGCAGTTATAAACATGTTTTGACAGTTAATATGCCAGTGATTATGCTTCACAAAAGTTGCCGACACCTTTACCAATATCAAAATGCTTTTTGTGAACATCCAGTTACACCGATTAAAAAAACGGCTACTATAATAAAGAAAATCTTTTCTAAATGTAGAACTAAATACACTAATATGCATTGAAATACATGATGAATACTCTTGACACATGAAAGTTGAAAGCCTGCAGCTCACAACAAATGTTGAAGGTTATCGCGTGTCATATTTAACAAACCGTTTACTGCTAATTTGATGTAATTTTGCTCACATGGATAATTGAATATTAATCAGATGATGTCATTACGCTGCTCTGCCGTCAGCCAATCGTTGCATTGCTGATCATGATTTCGAGGAACGATAGATCTGTCCTTCACAACACATGCAATGATCTCAGATCAGTTTATCTAGACACTCTAATCTGATTCGTGAACTTGTTTGAAGAACCAAATTAGCGAGAGATCAGTTATCAAGACTAAAAGATCCAGGATCTGCCAAATCATCTTAGATCATTTAAGCGAGCTACGAAGAATGGACCCCAGGTTTAATAAATATAGTGAGATTAGATCCAGCTGTAGATTCTTGCTAAACTGTCCAACAAGCACAGCTCTCATCTGGGTAGATATGCTGCAGCGCATGCCACGTGATGTGCGTTTTTGGTGGTTTGGTGTAGACGGAGAGCTGTTCAGAAACACTGGGTAAAACGCTAGTGTGGATGCGCATCGTTTTCATTCTAAATTGCTGTTTTAAAACTAAAATGTACTAGTGTAAACGAGGCGTAACTCTTTATTTATCTTTGAGTAATGGATGTTGTATTTTTACTGTATTTTCTCTAAATTGGCCAATTTGATAAAATTTTATCTGACAAATAAAATGTTAAGTTTTGATTCATTCTGAATTCTTCTCTGAAGTCTATTAAATCCAGAAGATTAAGTGGAGTCTGTGTTACCTTTATAATTCGACATGATAATATGAGATTCTAAAGGCACATTTGACTTTGGGGAGCAGTATGGCTCAACAACATGGAGATCTTTAATCATCTAATTGCTAAAATTACCAAGTTGTATGGAAGTGGCTAAATCTACTACATTTTAGAACGAGTGAGCAGTTGGCAACCAGACTATTTTAAGCATTAGCTAAACCTACATCCTCTGAGTAACTTCAGAGTGACGACATGTTGCCCGTGAGAGGACACGCAAACTCTAAGCAGCGTTTGGTCTCTAATAAACAGAAGAGTATAGAAGCAGATATAAATTGAAACTCTAAATTAAGTCATAAATAATGAATGTGATCCGTTCTTACAATTAGAAATACAGTCTAAATTTGACGGTGACTTAAAATTGGAGTCAGATTAAATTCAGAGCTAAAAAAGCAAATATGAATAAATTCTAATAAATAATAAAATTCTTTTCGTAAGCACTACATGCAACCTACGACCATGCTATGAGTTTTATCATCGGGCTAATTGATGGACTTCTACTACAGAATAATGACACTTTTAGTGAGACATTTTAATAACAAATACAGTTCCACTGAAAAAATGTGATCAGAAAAATATTCATGACTCAATTACAATGATGACAATCATGTTTATAGCAGATTTCTGACAAGATATGATGTCTAGGTAATGTCAAGCTGTCATGACAAACAATGTCATCTTTGCTTTTAAAATGACATAGCAAATGACACTTAATAACAGTTGTCATGGCTGCATGGTGGCTCAGTGGTTAGCACTGTTGCCTCACAGCAAGAAGGTCCTGGTCGGGTCATTTGGAATTTCTGTGTTTTGGAACTCGCCCCGTATTTGTGTGGGCTTCCTCTGGGTGCTCAGGTTTCCTCCACAGTCCAAAGACATGCACTCAGTGAATTGAATAAACTAAATTGGCTGTAGTGTATGAGTGTGAATGTGTATGGGTGTTTCCCAGTACTGGGCTGCAGCTGGAAGGGTAAAACATGCTGGATAAGTTGGCGATTCATTTTGCTGTGGTGACCCCTGATGAATAAAGGGACTACGTCAAAGGAAAGTTAATGAATATATAATTATGCTTAAAATCTCATTCACATTATTGATATGTGTCATGTCATGATTATAAAGGTCTTATGAACACTTATGAACGCACTTTCAAGAAAAGTGTTAGCAAATAATTTCATCCAAAAACAGTACAAGTGAATTTGACAGTATTAATGACAAACAAATTTAAACACTGCAAATGCGAAGAATCATGAACTTATAAAAGGGTAGGTTTTATAAATAACAAGTAAAAAGAGAAAATTGAGTCAAAGAATTGTGAACAGCCTACAGTCATTGTGTAAAAAATATTTATTAATGTAATTCATAAAAAAGTAATCATAGTCTGATTATGAGTGTTTTAAAATGAGTTTACAAATACTTGAGTTTTAGGAATATGACATAATTCAGATTACATATAATCAGCTACTGCCCAGCTCTGCTTATGCAAGGATTATGTTTTTTTTAGTTCAGTAAACAATCAAAAGCGAATAGAAAGTCCCAAAAGTGAAAGTGTGTACGAGAGAGGAATCAAAATCTTTTATTACGAGTGGAAATTTAGGATGGCTGAACTTATAACCGGTTTCTGAAGCTGAGTGCAAACTGCATAAAGAGAGAAAGACGGAGAAAATACACACTCACGATAATACGGAAAACAATTGTACACCGAACTTCTGAAAGAAGAGGACAAAGGCAAAAACCAGGAAAAATATATTCGGAGATTTCCACACCCACACCACTAATTCAACATAATGGATCTCCCAGACATATCCTCTGTGAGTAAATCTTTTTTTGAGAGTTTTAGCTTTTTTATAACTTTATAAATTTATAACTGGAAAAGCAACTTACCTGATTGAAATAAGTATCAGTAGGTTATAGCTGTATAAAAACTCATGAAAGTTTGTCTGACGCATTCGCGTGCTTATGAATGGAAGTCTATGGGAGGAAAAGCCCAGTGTGACCACAGCTTTCAACAGCCATGTTTAAGGGCACTTTACACTCTATTAGGTACACCTGTCCAACTGCTCGTTAAAGCAAATTTCTAATCAGCCGATCACATGGCATCAACTCAATGCATTTAGGCATGTAGACATGATCAAGACGATCCACTGCAGCTCAAAATGAGCATCAGAATGGTGAAGAAATGTAATTTAAATGTCTTTGATCGTGGCATGGTTGTTGGTGTCAGACGGCCTGGTCAGGAAACTGAGGCTACAATTCAGACAGGCTCACCAAAATCAGACAATAGAAGATTGGAAAAAAACATTGCCTGGTCTGATGAGTCTCTATTTCTGCTGCAACATTCTAATAGTAGAGTCACAATTTGGCGTCAACAACATGAAAGCATGGATTCATCCTGCCTTGTATCAACGGTTCAGGCTGGTGGTGGTGTAATTGTTTAGGGAATATTTTCTTAGCACGCTTTGGGCCCATTAGTACCAATTGAGCATCGTGTCAACGCCACAGCCTACCTGAGTATTGTTGCTGACCATGTCCATACCTTTATGACCACAGTGTACCCATCTTCTAGCAAGATAACGTGCCATGTCATAAAGCGCGAATCAACTCAGACTGGTATTTTGAACATGACAATGAGTTCACTCTACTCAAATGGCCACGACCGTCACCAGAGCTCATTTTAATAGAGTACCTTTGGAATGTGATGGAATGGGAGATTCGCATCATGGATGTGCAGCCGACAAATCTGCAGCTACTACGCAACTAATGCTAGCAAAAAATCTCTGAGGAATATTTTCATTACCTTGTTGAATCTATACAACGAAAGATTAAAGCAGTTCTGAAGGCAAAATGGGGTCCAACCGACCCGGTACTAGTAAGGTGTACTGCACCTAATAAAGTGGACAGTGAGTATAAGTGCAGTACAGTAAACCGTAAAGATTTTGTGTTTTTATTTATCAGTTCTGGCATAAAGATACTTCAACATTATAAATATGATTCTCAAGAAATATTTAAATTGAATTTTACTCTTAAAGTAACAGCTTGATTCTTCTGTCCATATATTTTTCATGTTTTTGTAAGTGTAATCTGAAATTGTACTTGTTTAATGGTTTTAATCTTATTGATGCGTTTATCATTTTGTCCTCTTAGTGAAGTAAAGCTTCATCACTAACAATTTTAACCCTACAGATTAAATCACCCAGTCGACCTGAGATATTTGAATTTGCGGGTATCCCAATGATCAGCTACTTCACTAAGAACTGGGAAAAGTTGAAAAACTTTCAAGCAAGACCTGATGACATTCTAATCGCAACTTACCCCAAAGCAGGTAGAGCACTGAATTAAATTTTTTTTTGTATATTATGTGACCACTAAGCCCCTGTTAAAAAAATGTGATCAGGTTTTTTTGTTTTTAATAAAGTAAAAAAAAAAAAAAAAACGAATAAAGCAAGTATTTATTAGATTGATTAAATTTGCCAGAAAAAAAACTTGGAGCCCGTAATGTAGCGCCAGGTGGGACATAAGATGCTTTTTACTTTCAGCGAGGTGCAGGTATCATTTTCACATCCTGCGCATGTTGTTTAAACAGCATACCTGTATGCGTTTGCACTCATTGGAACACCTATTTGTTGTGCTGGTCTGAAAAGGATGTTTGGTAAGGTGCATTGTTGTTGTGTTGCTATTGTGGTTTAAACTGAAACAGACAACACTATAAGCCAGTTTAAAGCTGGTCTAAATTCAACAGCACAGCTTTTTGTTACTGTTTTTTTACATTAGTGATAGGCTGGTCAAAACCCGCATACATAATACTTATTACAAACCCGGGGATTCACAGCAGCACACAAAAATCTCTAAATATGAAAATGTCAAGGATTAAAATTTAATAGATTATTGTAAATATAAAAGAAAAGTATTTCATCAAGTGTAACCGAACTATTCAAACCTGTAAATCCTGTTATAGTTTGCATATATTGTTTTTGTTTTTTTGCTTGTGTACTGTATATACAGTTGAAGTCAGAATTATTAGTTTTCCTGAATATTGTGTTCCCAAACTTTTGGTTAATTGAAAGTTTTTCAACACATTTCTAAACATAATAGTTAATTTCTAATAACTGATAATATTTTAATATTATAATATATAATATTTTACTAAATATTGTTCAAGATACTAGTATTCAGCTAAAAGTGCAATTTAAAGGCTTCAATGGGTTAATTCGTTTAATAAAGCAAGTTAGGGTAATTAGGCAAGTCATTTTAACTTGTTTGTTCTGTAGACAATTTTAAAAAAATGTTTTAGGGGGCTAATAATATTGACCTTAAAATGGCTTAAAAAAATAAAAAACTGCTTTTATTCTAGCTGAAATAAAACAAATAAGAGTTTCTCTAGAAGAAAAAAAAATATTGTAGGAAATACTATGAAAAAATCCTTGCTCTGTTAAACATCATTGGGAAATATTTAAAAAAGAAAAATTACAGGAGGGGGAATATTTTGGACTTCAACTGTATATGTGTATAAGACTGCTTCACTGCCTGTATTTGTTTCTATACTTTACTCTTTTTCTAGGCACCACTTGGGTTTCTTATATTCTAGACCTTCTGTATTTTGGCAAGGTTGACCCAAATGGCCAATCCTCCCTGCCTATCTACATGAGAGTGCCATTCCTGGAGTCTTGTTTTCCAGGGATGCCATCAGGTCAGAGACTACAGTATAATATGTTACTGCTTTATAAAATTCTTAAATTACTTATTACTCACTTTTTCACAGTTTAAATATTATAGATTCAGTGTGTTTTCTGACATTTTTGTGATGTGAGATTTAAATTCTCTGCTTTGTACAAAATAAATATACATTATATCTGGGTTTCATAAATCAGAGCCAGCATTCTGTTTTAGTCAGAAATGAAAGCACATGTGAGGCAAAAGTTTCCCGAGCATGTACACTGAAGTGCTGGATTCATTCTGCATTAGTGTGTATGAATACAGTGGTTCAGGCTGTACTCACACTAGGTACAGTTGCCTTAAACCGAGCCAAAGCACGCTTGTCCCCCCTCCCGTCTCCCCCGACGGCCCGCACTCACACCATATCAGGCCTCGGCACGCTTGCGTCATCGCTGCTGCTCTGTTCAGTGAGAAGCGCTGTCACTCAGCAGCACAGTGGAGATTTCTCTAGTTATATCGTTTCAGTCGTTTGATATGCAGTGACATGCAGTCAAATATTTCGCCAAACAGTCCTTAGGGATGCGGTGACACGCAGTCAGATATTTCGCCAAACAGATCCGCCACTTTTGCCGCTCATAAACAATCATAATGTTCTTGTGCTGCAGGAATGTGGAGATTTGCTGAAGGCGCGCAGTTGTGGTGCAGTGAGGAGTTCTCGTCTTTAATAAACTACGGCAGTTTGCATTTACTGAACAGTAAAGATTAATGAATCCATATGAAACTGTCCCTTAAAAGTCACGTCTCGCTTTCAGTTTCGGGCTTTGGCACGTTTTGCACTCACACACGCGTACCGCGAAAAAAAGCCTGAGTGAACTGCGCTCAGGCCCACCTCTTCCAACCGGGCCAGGGCCGGCCAAGTAAACCGTTCTTAAGCCCGATTCAGCGCACTCACACTTCTCAACCGATACGGGAAACGGGCCTGGGCACGGTACAGTTGTCATAGTGTGAGTAGGCCCTCAGAGTTGACTCCAGCTCTAAAATTCCTTCAACTCTTAGAATAACTGGCAAAGATTTTATTTCTATGTAAAAATATGTTTTTGGCATGATACCTTAAATTCCCCTTACACTTTTTGCCTATTTCTTTCAGAAAGGGAAAACTTAAATTTAAATATGGAGAATTAATTAATGAGAAAGCACAGTTGTTGTTGTTGTTTTGCTATTAAATGAGTGTTTGTGAAAAGCTGGCCAAAAAACCCATCTACACACTCAGAAATAAAGATACGTGAGCTGTCACTGTGGTGTAACCTTTTCAAAAAAGTACACATTTGTAACTAAAGGGTCCATATTAATACCTCAAGGGTACATAATACCGCCTAAAAAGTACAAAAGTGTTAAAATTATTAGGTACTAATATATACTTTTGAGGTACCAATATGGTTTCTTTAAATACAAATGTGTACCTTTTAAAAAGGTACCACCCCAGTGACAGCTCGAGTACCTTTATTTCTGAGAGTGTACACTATGCTTATTACACACACAGGGATGCACAGCAGCACACGCATTTCTTTAAATATAAAAAAATTAAAAGGTTAAAATGTAAAAGATTATTGTTTTCTACATAAATATAAAAGCACTACCTCCTCCCATGCCTTCACCTCAGGGTGTTTTTGTGAAATTTGGCTCATTCTGTAGATGGTCTGCATGTGTTTTAACCTTGCACACTAGCAGATTTGGTTCTCACTAGTGAAATGATAAGTTTTTATGCTTACAATGTCCACCATGTAAATAGCAATTCACAATGAGAATTAATTAACAGAAAAGAAAATATACTTGAAAATGAAATCAATTTTAATTTTAATTGTTAAAATAATATTAACAATAACATATAATTCATTTAAAAACACATACAGTCATATACACTTATTGTTTTGTTTATTTTTGATCTGAGTTTTTGATAATTTATGGTTATAATGAATTTTGACAAAAATTAGCAAATGGAAAACCAAATGTACAAGGATTAGAGAACTAGTGAGCCAATTGACAGTCTTGTGCTGGAGTCAACTATAAAAATGTTTTTTTTATTTTAGACATGTTGATGCTTTATTAAGCAGAAAATTGTGTACATAAATCATTCGCCTGTGGCTGTCATATCCATAAACATGCCTCAAAATCCCACCCCTAACTCTCAGTGAGGGATAAGCAAATTGTAATAAAAATGACAATATATTTGCTGTGAGATACCTTTGGAAGCTTAGTTAGATGGAACAATAAGCGTGAATTATTGTAAGAATGAGTTTTTAAGTACAGCAATTCAAACTGTAGTTCTGCCAAACAACTAAAAAGTTATGAGTATGATGGTGAAAAACTGTACATTTCTAGTCAAACCATCCTTCTGCAATCTTATACCAAAAACGTAAATAAGGGCAGTATAAAAAAACCTTAAAAATGTAGGAGAGCGTTGCTATAATGTGATGGTACTGTATTGCAATATGGAGCAAGTGGAGTCAAGTTAAATCAAAAGTAATTTACAAATACTTGAAAAAGAAAATGAAGAGCTGTCACTGTGTTGTAACCTTTTCAAAAAAGTACACATTTGTAACTAAAGGGTCCACTAAAGGGAATGAAGAGAATTCTCTATGTTTACATTTGAATTAGTTACAAAATAACTGCATAAAATGATAAAAATATGAAATGATGAAAAACATATATTAATTGTACCCAGTTTAAATGTAAAATAAAGTTACCTGAGAGAGAAACGGGGAGAGAGAGAGAGACGAAGTGCAGTAAGTAGGCCTCAAAGAGAGCTTGATAGCAGTAGAGTCAAAGAGGCAGGAGAGGAGCGGAGCAGAGCAGAAAAAAAGGCCTGAGCAGAGTTTACCATCTATTTTGTATTTTTCCTGACTATGTGACCAAAGCCCAAATACTGAGAGATACAAACTGACCAATCAACATGTGACCACATCGTAAAACCCCCAAAGTCCATTTATTAACCAGGCGCTGATCTAATCAGTATCTGCCTTTGGACTCTGTATGGACCTTCTTAGGGCCTACTCACACTATGCCATCCGTACCGTGCCCAGGCCCGTTTCCCAGATCGGTTGAGAAGTGTGAGTGCGCTGAATCGGGCTCAAGCACGGTTCACTTGGCCTGCCCTGGCCTGGTTGGAAGAGGTGTGCCTGAGCACGGTTCTGGCACGGTACGCTTGTAGAGTGAGTGCAAAACCCGCTAAAGCCCGAAACTGAAAGCGAGAAGTGACTTTTAAAGGACTTGGTCATATGGTTTTATTAATCATTCTTACTGTTCAATAAACGCAACCTGCCGTAGTTTATTAAAGACTCAAACTCCTTACTGCACGACAGCTGCGCGCCTTCAGCAGACCTCCTCACGAGACCTCCACGAGAGCATTATGATTGTTTTTGAGCGCCAAAAGTGGCGGATCTGTTCAGTGAAATATCTGATTGCGTGTCACCGCATCCCTAAGGACTGTTTAGCGAAATATTTGACAGCATGTCACTGCATATCAAACCACTGAAATTATATAACTAGAGAAATCTTCACTGTGGTGAGCGAAAGCGCTTCTCACTGAACAGTGCAGCATCGATGATGTAAGCGTGCCGAGGCCCGATTGTGGTGTGAGTGCGGGCGTCGGGGGAGACGGGAGGGGGGACAAGCGTGCTTTGGCCCGGTTTGAGGCAACTGTACCTAGTGTGAGTACGACCTTAGTGTAAAACACGTTTTGCCATAACAAGTCAGTAATAAAACTGTTTTATTGGTCATGATAATTATCCTGCTTGAAGTAGCCATCAGAAGATGGGTACACTGTGGTCATAAAGGTATGGACGTGGTCAGCAACAATACTCAGGTAGCCTGTGGAGTTGACACAATGCTCAGTTGGTACTAATGGGCCCAAAGTGTGCCAAGAAAATATCCCCCACACCATTACACCACCACCACCAGCCTGAATCGTTGATACAAGGCAGGATGGATCCATGCTTTCATGCTGTTGATGCCAAATTCTGACCCTATTGTTTTTATAACAGTTTTTATCTATAAGCTAGTGTTGCACAAAACAGTGACAAAATTCACGTTTAGAAGATAAAATTGACATAAACATGTAAAGCTTGTAGTTTGTTACTTCCACCTAAATGTATCAACGTTTTTCATGTCACATACTTTAGTTGCTCACCAAATCTGGACCAATCAAATGCTCTTTAGTATCTGACATGCCCCGCCCCCTTAAAGACACTTATCATTTGCTATTCATTTGATGCGCTTAAGCTCAACCTCTTTCAATGGTAGAGCTGTGAGAAACCAAAACGCTATTGGATGTTTTTAAAAAGGGGATGTTCCACCCTCTCTTCGTTTTTCAGTTGAGATTGACAAACATTGAATAAAATTGCACATTTCAAAGCACATCAAGGGACCTTATAAACAGAATCTCATAAGGGTAGCATAAACTAGGTTAAAAGCAACGGGCCAAAAACTAAACCTTGTGGTACTCTGTATTGTACTTTTAAATAATTTTCATTTTTCATTAACAGCAACAACTTTATAATTGTCTGAAAGACAGGTTAGTTACATCAACATGGAAACTAGGCAAAAACAAAGGTTGAAATACATGCATTCATGAAACAAGGAGGAAGGAAAGTACATGGCACATGAAACCAGGGACATGCAAAGCAAACTGGAAAGTACACATTCAGTTGTGTCAACATTAAAATCAGTTTCATTTTCCCTTTCAGGCACGGAACTGGCTGATAACCTGCCAAATTCTCCTCGCCTAATCAAAACTCATTTACCTGTTCAACTTGTTCCCAAGTCCTTCTGGGAGCAGAACTCAAGGGTAATGTGTTAAGTACAAATGTTTAACTCCACAATGTGGTGTAGGCAGCAAGTAGAAGCTTTATAAATCTGTCATGGTATGATGTGAGTCTTGAACTACCAAATGCAAATCCATTGTTTAGAAATGTGAATTAAATTAAGGAATATTTAAATATTTCTATTATCATAATATCGTCGTAATAATATCGTAATATTCGTTTTACGTAACGTGACCATGACAAAATGGCGGATGAAGTACGTCCGAATTCCATTCATACTTTTCACATTCATACTGTATAGAACATACTTTTCTAACGGCCGAGTAGTACGTTTAAATTCAAATGCAGCACCTACTGAGTAGTAGGTGGTTTCGGAAGCAGCCTTTATGTTCATTTTGTCACAGTTGTTAAATTAGTGTGTTAGTGGGAATGAACAATAGGCTACATGTGTGTGTTAAACATTTAGGTGAATTACATTTGTTTGGGCTGGTTATATATTTGACAAAAAAGAGAAAATGTTGACTTCAGCGATGACGAGGCTTCATTTAAACAGCAGAAGATGCCGTCTGATAACAAGGAGAAAATTCCTTTACAGCAGCTGTTTTCCATCCTATTAGATCTTTTTTTTTTTTTTAATTGATCAGGAAGTGGAGCTGATCAACAACAATATTGGTTTAAAGATGATAAAAACAGGTAAAATAGATTAAAATTATCATTTCAAAGCTGTCCAAATGTGACTGTTTATGCGCATCAGCTGCCGACCAGAAAATCTTAGCATTCCCCTTGCAAATACACGCAAAGCACAATGGGTAATTTTGCGTTCTAAGAAAAAGGTCTATAGGCTACAACTAACAAGACTCAGCCACATAATGTGAGTTTGTGCTGCTTATGTAGTACAGTAATCAGTCCAAAAGCAGCATCAGCTGCTTACAGTGTTTGTGGCTGCGTCCGAAGCCGCCTACTACTCAGTAGGTACTGCATTTGAATTTAAACACTACTTGGCCATTAGAAAATCACGTTCTATACAGTATGAATGTGAAAAGTATGAATAGAATTCGGACGTACTACATCCGCCATTTTGTCATGGTCACGTGACCTACCTGTGTCAGTTGCATCACTTCACTCCCATTCATGAATTCTCTCACGGGGCATCATGGGATAGCGCAGGGTGCATGGGATGCACACCCCAGGATCTCAATGGAAGTAGTAAGTCATGCGGGTACTTCTCGCAAACTGATTTTGGAATTCTATGAATTCGGACTTACTACTCGGCTCGTATACTGATTTTAGCATACTATATAGTATGTAAGTGTGCAGTTTCTGATGCAGCCATGTGTGCGTGTGTGTTGCATGACTGAATATGTAGTCCATGGAATGGCAGATTTGTAGTTTGTATGAGTGTTTACAGGCGATCTTTCGTTCTTAGATCGCTGGTGATCATGACATATGATATAATAATATATCAGTTGTGTAATAAAGAAATTGGGATATGTCTTTTTTTTGTTCACTCATTCCAGGTGGTGTATGTAGCTCGGAATGCAAAAGACAATGTGGTGTCCTATTTTCATTCTGACCGAATGAACCACGGACAGCCTGAACCAGGAGACTGGAACACCTTCCTGGAAGATTTTTTGAAAGGAGAGGGTAAGTAGCATAACACTTGAAAATAATATATAGTAATATAGTAATAATCATAATATTTGAAAATGTAATGAAATCCTAGTAGATACAATGAGCATAATTAAAAATATCTATTGGATATGTAAAGTCATTAAACAACTAAATTTGGAGATGAAAAATAATAAAGGTATTACCTCTACATCAACAAAAAATGTACATTGTCTTGTAAACTGCTTGAAAAACCAATAAATATTGTACTGTGTGCATTATTCAAAATATTCACCACAGATTTATTGTTTCTATTTTGCATATAGTGGTGTTTGGTTCTTGGTTCGACCATGTCTGTGGATGGTGGGAGAAAAAAAAAACATATCCTAACTTACACTACATGTTGTACGAGGATATGGCGAAAGTAAGTTCAGTACAAAACAACCTCTTCAAGAAGCATCAAATCTAAATGAATGTTTAATGTGTATTTTCAATGGCTTGCTCAGGACATTAATGGCGAAGTAGAAAGTTTGTGCACTTTCTTAAAATTGTCACGTTCAGACGAAGAGAAGAATAAAATAATAAATAGCGTTCAGTTTGATGCCATGAAACAGAACAAGATGACCAACTACTCCACTATCCCAACAATGGACTTCAAGATCTCGCCATTCATGCGGAAAGGTTAATACACCACTGATTTCACCTATCATTTTTGAATTCTGTCCTTTAATTTACTTTGATCGCCTTTTTGCTTGTGTACCAAAAGGTAAAGTTGGAGACTGGAAAAATCACTTTACTTTGGCACAAAATGAACAGTTCGATGAGGTCTACAAACAGAAGATGAAGAATACCACTCTCAATTTCCGCACTAAGATTTAATACTTCTGCATTATTATTTAACCAGGATTATGTGTATGAATTTTTTATGTTTCAAATGATGAAAAAATTTCCAATTATAAAACGTGTCCATTTTAACTCACACGAAAAAATACTATAGTAGTTTACTATAAATATTATATCGTTTTTAAACCACACTACAATAAATACTTGTGCAACAATAACAAATAATTTATTTATTTGGTACGAATTACCCAATAAAATAAGTCTTCTTCAACTATAGGGTTTATTATGCCACAATTCACCACAGTTTACTGTAATATAATATACCACTGTATTCATTACATCAGTTTTTATCTGTTCACTACAATTAAAACTACATTATGCCGTAGCACTTATTACAAAGCGCTGAAAACACTATAAAATATAAAACATAGTACATTTTACTATAGTATGGATCAAAAACATTTTAGTATACTATAGTACTTTTTCATATGGCAATATAAAAAAAACAACTATATATATATATATATATATATATATATATATATATATATATATATTAGTGCTGTCAAAATTAGTGTGTTCACGTATGCGATTAATAAAAATTTTTTTTTTTTAATTAAATTTCGCAATCAACGCATCATCAAATTAGAGTTTCATCTTATTTCCGGTTTCATTTTTAACTTTTGTTTTAATGGAATTTGATACTACATGGCGAAAGGGAAAGAAAAACTTGGTGGTCCTTTAAAGTAATCACTGCTTACAAGGTAGACTCTTAGTTTTATTCAATTTGACGTGTTTCCCCGTTAAATGCAACTTTTGTAAAGCGTCTGCTTCACATGGATTTGTCAGAATCCTTGTGAAATCTAGCCACACTTAAGAGTGCTTAGTTTAAGCAAATTTGATGAACGTGATCATGCGTGTTTAATCTGAAGGGAGTCGACTTCGGCTGCGCTGTCCTGAGTGTTCGTGTGTTTGTGTGTATATGTCTGTGTGTGTTTGTGTGTGTGTGTGTGTGTGCACGTTTCCTAGCATCAAGAACAAATGCCTAAATGTAATTGTCTGTATCCCTCAAATGTATAAGTGTTTAGAGTTGCTGTGACCAAAGTCCCTGTAGGAATTAGGCCCAATCCCAATTCAATTTTGTACCCCTACCCTTTCCCCTTAGCCCTTTCAACCGAGGGTTAAGGGGAAGGGCTTCAAAATTTACCCCTAATAAATGTGGACAGCACTACATCACCTGCACACATCATCATATGTCCTCGCGATCTCTTGCTTCTTATGAGTTCAGATTATGGAGACTACTGTAGTGATTCCAGTTGTGTTATATTTTGTGGTATTTATCTTCAGGAAATCACTGAAGCCATGTATTATGTTATCATAACGATCTAATGTGGCAATAAGATCGTAACAGTACTGTGCATTTGTCCCGGATCGTTTGAGAAGTGTGAGTGCGCTGAATCGGGCTCAAGCACGGTTCACTTGGCTTGCCCTGGCCCGGTTGGAAGAGGTGTGCCTGAGTGTGGTTCACTTGGCCACAGCGCATCCCTAAGGACTGTTTGGCGAAATATTTGACTGGATGTCACTGCATATCAAACAACTGAAACGATATAACTAGAGAAATCTCCACTGTGCTGAGCGACAGCGCTCACTGAACAGTGCAGCATCGATGACGTAAGCGTGCCGAGGCTTGATTAAATGTGAGTGCGGGCCGTCAGGGGGGACTGGAGGGGGGCAGGCGTGCTTCTGTCCGGTTCGAGGCAACTGTACCTAGTGTGAGTACGGCCTCAGTGTCATCGAGTGTCAGAATGTTGTGGGACTGCTGTACAGGAGTTATTATTAGGGATTATAGATAACGAAATTTAGCAGTTTTTATTTTAGCGTTTTTTTTTGAAAGAGCATGATGGTAAAACTCGAACGCGGTTATGAATATATTAAAAAACGTGTTTGTTTGTTGTAAAAATTTATAATAATGACAAAAAATACTAATTTGTGGATCTCTTTACTTTCGGGTGCAGCTGGAGTGTATTCTGGGATATTTTTCCTACCCCTTGGTTTCGAGTGTGGTCCTGAAAAATCTTCGTTTGAAGGGGTGTATACTCCTATGCCCTTAGCCCTACGCCTTCAAGCTAAAGTGAATTGGGACACCACTACCCCTTCACGGGCATGCGCAGAACGAGTGGTAGGGGTAAGGGAAAGGGCTAAGGGAATTCGGATTGGGCCTTAGTCTTTGGTGTGACACAACGCGTAACTTTGCGTGTCTTTGATGTACCGCATGATGCTTTTTACATGGAAATTAATGTTTTCTTTATTGGCATTGATTGTTTTGAAATTCAAATGGCATTAACATGCCTGTTTTTATTTCTGTAATAAATATGGATGTCTAGCCAGGATCTTTATGGTTATGTTGGGTTATGTGGGTATGTTGTTTACATGAACAAATCTGTGTTACAGATTAAACAAAAATTCTAATAAACAACTATATTTTTAATTTAAATAGTTTTTGTCTTCCGTTTACATAAATTTTACATTTGAATAGCCAAAATTACAAGTTTCAGTCTTTTAATTGCGATTGATCGCAATTAATTGCAAAAAAAGTGTGATTAATTAGTTAATTTATATATATATATATATATATATATATATATATATATATATATATATATATATATATATATATATATATAAATGAACTAATTAATATATATGTGAACAATATTACACGAGTAGCACTGCTGGGAGGTATGCGTTGGCTCGAAGCAGTGCTTTAGTGTCCCACCAGTGATGATATACAGCCACATCACACTGCTACCCGTGTGATATTGCTTTTATACAACAATCTGACGACATAATAGTGTATAAAAAAGAAAATCAAACATGGAGAGTGTCAAAAACATTATGTAAGAGGAACTGCAGCTGGCGGTCAGAACAGCAGAAATCGTTACTAATTCACCAACGTCACTTTACAACTAGTGTTTTAATGATTCTCCAGCTTATTGTCTAAAATTATGTCAAAACGGGGGATTTATTTTTTTAAAAAATGACAAAGACAGCTTATGTAAAAGGTTTTAGACACAAATCTCTCACCATGCAAGTTCACTTTCTTATTGACTGTCAAATACAAGCAAAGTTACATCTAACATGCACAAAAACACATTAAAATAAGGTTGTATTTGTGAATGTAAGCAGATGGGAAAGAAAAATCTGTAAGATCTGTGAAACATCTATTGGACATGGGAACACAATAGTAAAGTTCAAGTTCAGTTTATTTAAGCACAGAACAAGGCTAACAAAAGCATACACAATAATCAAGTAGACAACAGAATAAACAAAAGCAAAACCCTAAAGAAAAAAAAAGGGTTTAATTTTATATAAAAATGGAAGCCATTGTAATGTGACCTGGTAAGCTGTTCCAGGAGGTAAGTCCTTTCCTTGGTCTTTTGGGATTTGAGAAATTTGCCTTTCGATTTTAATCTTGCTGAACTGTAGAGGTAAATTAAATCAGACGTAAGGATAAGCTAAGTTGTTAAACAAAAGTAGCAAGATTTTAAGATAAAAAATACATTTTGAGTGATAAAAACTGCAGATAGTTCCCATTGAATCCCATGTTTTCTAATAAAGACAAGTAAATAAGCATGTCATTGCTTTAAGAGTAAAAAAAGGGGGAAAGATAAAGAGAGCAGGACCTATGATAGAACCCTGGGAAACTCCATGTTGCCTGAAAACTAAAGCATTCACACATATGTAAATGGAAGAAATCTCAGAACTCCATCATAGCATTTCTTGGAGTTCAGAAAGAGTGTTTATTAATAACGGAGTATTTGGACTTTGCCTACCCACTATTGACTCTATTCTTCAGGTACAAGCGAGAGCTGGCATTGGAATTTTTGGCTCAAGACTTATGTTCTCATACACTTTTATTGATATTTAGATGTTAAAAACTTTTTTTTATTTCCTAAATGAAATTTTTACAGTATGTCGGATGATATTTTTTTCTTCTGGAGAGACTTATTTGTTTTATTTCAGCTGGAATAAAAGCAGTTAAAAAAATTTTTAAAGCCATTTTAAGGTCAAAATTATTTCAATAGTCTACTGAACAAACTATTGTTATACAATAACTTGCCTAATTACCCTAACCTAGTTAAGCCTTTAAATGTTACTTTAAGCTGTATAGAAGTGTCTTGAAAAATATCTAGTCAAATATTATTTACTGTCATCATAGCAAAGATTAAATAAATCAGTTATTAGAAATGAGGTATTAAAATGTTTAGAAATGTGTTGAAGAAATCTCTCCATTAAACAGAAATTGGAGAAAAAAAAACAAGGGGGCTAATAAGTCAGGGGGGCTAATAATTCTGACTTCAACTGTTTATGATTTATATATAGAGTATCGTTGGTTGAATGTCCTGAAATTCTGAAATGACATTAAAAAACACTGGATTACCATCATCTCCAAGTGATCAGATCGCAGATGTCCTGCAGCAGTGGTTCTCAAAAGTGTTCCTGCAGCTCCCCCAACAGCTTAAAATTGTGACTGAAAATCACCGTCCTGTAGCAAAACAGCATGTATTTCCATTCTGGGGATTTTCTCTCCTCAAGTACACCTCCTTTAAATCTGATTTTATTCGGCAACACTGCAGGATAAATGCCAACACAGGTTTCCATTATCTGTTGTTTCAGGTGCTGCACATATTGTATAGTACCAACACAATGGGCAGCACATTGAACACATTTTCAAGAGTTCACACTTAGCCAATGATCTATCAAAGCTTGTTTGGCATGCTGTCCCGGGAGAGAGCCCCGAGCTCAAGGGATCCTCGAGCCCGGGGCTCCCCCCCCGTTCGCAGAGCTGGAGGGGAGCCTGAGCTCGGTGGATCTCAGAACTCCCCGACTGCGATAGCTAAGGGAACATCTGAGAAGGGGCTAGAGCATGCATGGTTCTTGAGCGTGATGTATGTCTTTAGATGGTGGGAGGAAACCGGAGAGCCCGGGGAAAACCCACGCGAACACGGGGAGAACATACAAACTCCTCACAGAAACGCCCACCGGCTAGGCGAAACTAGGCCAGTGGTGTTCTTGCTGTGAGGCCCTCAGTGCTAACCACTGGGCCACCGTGCCGCCCAATCAAATGTCAAGGAGGAGAATGGGGAGGAAGGGGGGTTTCTTCCAAACGAAGATAATGTGGACTGGAAACTGCGGTTCTTTATAGTAGCTTAAGGCTCATATGATTGGAAGATAATGATTAGCTAATACGAGACCGGCCGTGATAAATCATAAGCACGTGATCCTCTCGAAATTAGTTTATAAACAAACTTCACTTATAAGTGGTCAGAAACTCATGAAAGAATAAAATTACATTAAAACCAAGCACACGACTGTTTTCTTGTGAAATTCCCAATAAGTTTGATGTGTCAAATGACTCTCTTCCTATTGAAAAAAACAAAAGTTGGATCCAAGATGGTTGACTTCAAAATGGCCACCATGGTCACCACCCATCTTGAAAAGTTTGCCCCCTCACATTACTAATGTGCCACAAACAGGACGTTAATATCACCAACCATTCCCATTTTATTACGATGTATCCATATAAATGGCCCACTCTGTATTTACTCCAGTCTGTTTCTAATTAAAACGGCAAAACACTACTCTAAATACATCTCCATTTAACCCTTTTGCAAGTATAACAATATTTTAACCTATAATTCATCCAATGGAAGGAGCAAACTTTCATTTAATTTCATAAACACTCTACCAGCTTTAGTTGATAAGGCTGTAATTTATCAATGAATCCTATTATTTTGTTAAAAATATTTTATAATTATTTTGCATGTGAGCTGCGGAACGTTTAAGGTTAATTCCTGTGGTTACATTGTAAAAGCCCTAGTTGCCTTAATCTTTTAAGCTGAATCAAAAGGTTTACCTTATGAGTCCATTGAACTTATATTCTGTTACTCTGACTTAAAACAGCTTGCGTAACCTATAAAATTCAGTTAGAACATGATTAACTTAGTTTTACAAGTTACAATGAACTAAAAACATGCTGTTATGACTAATTGATCATAGATTTTTTTTACAGTGTATAGACAAGCATAGAAAATTTCTGGAGAATATTTGCACTTCACTGAGCTACAGTACCTACTATATACGGTAGATATGAGATAATAGTTTAACATACTGAATTGATGCACTCTATGGGACCTTTGATTTCATTCAGTCAAGTCTAATTTTCCATAAAAAAAAGCTGTAATGAATAATAATAAATCTTTTAAATTATGTATAGCACAGCACACATCAACATATAATGCCTCCAACATAGGCTCATTCTGAAAACGTAGCCCTATATACATTTCTGGAGATCTCAAATTCGGCAGCCAAAGGTATGTATGGCTGCATTTCATCTTTAAAACAAACGCTATGGGGTGGTATGATGCTGTTCCTATTCGCGCTTACCAGCTGGCCACTTACCTCTGTATGGACGGCTTTCCTGCTGTTTCCAGTTTGTCTTGAGATGCAGAGAGGAGTTGACCATGATGACAGGGTTCGGTGAGTTCGGTGAAAAATGATTCCAGAAAGCAGGTAAAACAAAAACAGAAGCTAAAAAATACAATAGACAAGTAAATAACAGGGTGAGAATGCAGTTAAATCTAAAAAAGTGGTAAAAATCAGACGACGGCTTTTCTTTTTCTGGGTTGCTTTTAAATACTGTCGGTTGGGTTTATGAAAAAGGGTGAGCGGGTCAATCAGAGCTTTAGAAAACACTATTGGTTGGGTTTAGGGAGGGAGAAGAGTAAGTCAGTCGACAGTGGCCTCTGGTGGATTCATGCGAGAACAGCAGGTGCGAATGGCACTCGCAAGAGAAATTTGAGATCTCAAAAAGCATACACAGTGGCCTCTCGTGGATTCGCAAAAACAAAAACTGCTAAAAAAACGTAGCTCCTGGGATGTATTTGGAGCTCTCCAGAAATGTATTTAGCAGTACATTTTTAGAATGAGCCTGAGTTGAAAGCTACAGTGGCATGGCCCCTAAACAAAAAACATTTGTACTTTAAACAGTTACAGCATCTTCTTTATTTACAAAGATGAAAGTAATATTAAAATACTCATACCTTCCATTTTAAACAGAAATGCCCTAATAAACAACAAAAACAGTACAAAGCTTACTAATCAGATCTCTTTCATGTCACAATCAAACTGTACACATTAACATTTTTTTCAGGATTTGTTTCTGTAGTATTATCACAGACAGATATGTCTGGAAAAATACATATAGTGTATTTTTAGCATCAGTATGTTCTTGTAGTAGGAAAGATTGTCATTCACAGTAAATGCATTGTATGTAATTAGAATACATCCTTATTTACAAAGAAAAATATAGTATATACATAATCTGTTTCAGATATACTCACAGCTTTCTATAGTTTATTGCTCGGACATGAGTTCTGCTGTACTGGACAAAATAGTTATCAGTTAAGCCTCCAGTTTTGTGTTTTGGTTTTTAATTTGAGCATGCTAAATACACTAGCAAACAAAGGCTGTTTCTCAATATGCATTCTCGTGTATGTTCTCGTGTAACGTCATCATCAACTGCTAAGATTCAGTTCCAAAACTCAAGAACGGAAGACACGTGAAAGTTCCCAGAGGTGTTCTTGATATCGAAGACGCTTCGATGCAGACTTGAGCGGAAAACTCTTTCGAGAAGTTTCAGAAATCATTACGGCTGAGTAAAGCAGGTGGGAAGAGCAGCGTTCTATATAGATTAATTCAAGTTAAAAGATATAACTTATTTATCTCAGGAGTTTCCCTAAACGAGACGGAGGGAAAAAATCTTAATGGAGGTATAAACACTTTAGTGTTTATTTACTGAAATTCCTATTAAAATTTGTTTTATTTGTATTGTGTAACATATATTTGTAAAGTCTTTACGCTTAGTGTATATTGTAAAAAAAAGAAAAAACAATAAATCGTTGCATGAATGCTGTAATATGTAAATAATTTTCCATTTAAAACGTGAAGGTCATGTGACCATCAGAAGAACCAGGAAAGAACGCAGCATCTCATTTCTGCTTTTAATACTATTATATCTCAGCACCTGGTCAATAAATTAGCATCTCTAGGTCTGAATACACCTCTTCGGAACTGGACTCTTGACTTTCTGACACCCAGGCCACAGTTTGTGCGAGCGGAGGGTGTTTCGTCATCTACCACTCTGCTGAATACAGGGGTGCGTCCTGAGCCCACTGCTATACACCCTGATGACCCATGATTGCTGTGCAAAACTTAGCACTAATCACATCATTAAATATGCTGATGACACCACAATAGTGGGTCTCATCCGGGATAATGATGAGAGGAATTACAGGGAGGAAGTAAAGCTCTTTATAGAGTGGTGCAGTGACAACAATTTAGTTATGAATGTTGAAAAAACAAAAGGAGTTGGTGATTGACTTCAGGAAGAAAGAAGAAACGCCCCACTTATTCCCCTATATATATTAACAACACTGCGGTGGAGACCGTACAGCAGGTAAAATTCCTGGGGGTCCACGTTACTGAGAACTTGACTTGGTCTCTCCAAACCACTTGACTTGCGAAGAAAGCGCACCAGCGCCTGCACTTTCTGAGATGGTTTAAAAGAGCACACCTCAGTCCATCAATCCTCACAACTTTTTACAGAGGAGCTGTTGTAGTGTGTTCTCACTAATGGCATCTTCCTTTGGTATGAGAATAGCAGTGAGTCTGACAAGAACACCATTAAGAGGATCATAAAGTCAGCTGAAAGGTCTGTTGGGGTCAAAATGACATTTATCGAGGAACTTTATCAACGACGTTGTCTGTCTAGGGCAAATAGCATTTTAAGGGATCCAACCCACCCTGGTCATAGCCCGCTCACGCTTATGCCATCAGGCAGACGTTACAGAAGCCTGGGGAGCAAATCAGTATGGTTTCGCGACAGTTTTTATTATGTCATTATAAGATTTTTGAATAATACCACTTCTTAAACATTGTTGATAGCTAGTGTGAAAATAATAGTTGAACTAGCATAAATTGGTAATATTACAACAAATGGTGAAATAGGTATTTAAGTATTCAGAGATTATTTTAAAATATGTTATATCTTATTTAACTATATTTTTATATTTTTTTGGAATTTTAAAACCTTATTTATCATGTTAGGTTTTTATAGTGATGTTTTTATGTTCTTGTTGGGTCAGTTGCAACGTAATTTCGTTCTGCATTACAATTCAATTGTGATGTTTTAAATGACAAAATAAAGGAAACTGAACTGAAACTGATTTGTCACAGGATGCAATCTGTGTTTACATAGTCTCCCAAGTTCATTCTTCCAAAGTAACTTGGCAAGACCGGTCTCCACAAGAACACGACTCTATAGAGCATTCCTGGAATTGAGAAACAGCCAAAGTTTGTTTTGTTGTTCTGACAGTTGCCACCTCATTGATCCAGTTTGGGTAAAATTTGGTAAGTTGCGCTCCGGGAATAAATTGGTACAAAGCCTGGGCCAGAAAGTTTTCCAAAACATACAGTATAATTTCTATTGAAATGCATTACAAAGAAAAATAAACACTATCCAGACACAGCTGTTTACAATGCATGCTAAGGAAGCACTTAGGTTGCTCTATGGGACAAGGCACTGCATAAACTGGCATTGACATTAAAACACGCACTACTGCAAAGGTGAAGCCACTAAACATTATATAACAACAGGAGACTGAACTCCACAAGCAATAAAGACACAAACAACACATAACTAGAAGTTAATTTGCCGTACAGGTCAAATAACGAACAATTGCACAAAAACAACAGTAAAAACAAAATATAAGCTTCAAATTTCTGTCTCTGGAATGCCTTGTCCTTGGGATACTACTGTATGTGCATTGCTGTAAACAAGACTTTTGAAAGGAAATCAATAAATAGTTTGAGCGATTCGATGTTGATTGCCTGAATGAACACATTCAGTCACTCAACAATGTTCCGTTTTTATTTCAAATACCATTACTACAGTCAGTCCATCTGAGCAAGTCATAATTCACTAATATCTGCTTAATTAATGCGTTGTAACCTGTAGCTGTTAAGTGCCATCACCAATACCACTATAATGTAGCATGATCATGTTTAAAGGTCAATAATGTCACTGCTGACACTTGCAGAGTCCTCATTTCGAGTGACTTTCAAGTAACTGCGTCCACCTCTGCTGTTTGATTGCGAACTATCAAAGTCAGGGGTTAGAAACGGCCTTGTGTTATCTGCACTTGGAATTAGGGCATGACTTGTGCTTGGGGAAGGATGCAAAGATACTGGGCAGGACAAAGAAGAAGGCACCGGTATCTCAGAGACCCAACGGAAGCCTTGATGAGTGGGTGTAGGAGGGGCTGTGACCTGGCGGCTTGGCACAGCACTGGGAATGGATCGATCTAGACCTGCAGAGGACTCTGTGAGCAAAGTGTGTTCATCACTACTAAGTGACAGTGTAATTTGGGGGTCACTATTCCGTCGCATCCACAGGTCTGGAGAGGGAGGAGGCGATACTGGTCGCAATGGGTGAAACAAACTTTCGCCCATAAACAGATGCTCGCGATTAAGTGCCGCGTCAATACTGCGGGTAAGGTCGATCGGGGTTGGAGGGCGCAGGTCAAAATCGAAGAGAGAAAGGGCTGACTCCTTGTCCCTGTCCAGACTGTTGCTTAAAGACCGAGGTGTCTGAGCAAGAGCCTGCAGTCGTAGCAGTGAACCTGCAGAGCCTCCTGCAAAGCTCTTCAGATTGCGTCCGTGATTGCTGTCTTTGAGTGGGTCACGATTTCGTATGAGGCTCTTGCTAATGTCCGCTCCTGATCGCTCCTGTCCAGCCCAGTTATTGGGCAGCTCTCCAGTCATTGTCCCACTGTTAGATCCTCCAATCCCATTGCTTTCTGATTTTTTTTGTTGCCTTACCTTAAAGCTCTGCACAATCTTTGCCCAGCATGTATGTCTGCTGGAAGAGTTTGATGATTGAGTCGGTGAGGGCAAGCTTTCAGGGGCTTCTCCTTCCTGTCTTTGTGCTCCACATATGTGGCCTCCATTGGGTCTCCAGAAGACCCAGGAGGACACCAAAAGTAGACAAAAAGCCCAGGCAAGCTCCAGCAGTCGTACCCAGAACTGACAGAGCCACCATCCCCAACGAAAGCGCCTCCAGTCTCCTAGTAGTCCATACAGCCACAGGCAGGCATAAATGTGCAACAGACAACACAATATCCCGAGGAGAGCGCACACTACCAGAACCCGTGCCAAAACCTGCATCTTTCCTTCGCCTGTTCCCTTATTTCCTCCTCGTGCATCACGAGTACGAGGAAGCCTCGGCAATGCCAAAAAAAGATAGCCAAAACACAAGGCCAGACCTGCTATCAGCGTGAGACTCTGCAGGACGACAGGAACAGCAGGTGAAAGAGCAGGGGAAAGTAAGTCTGCCGCCAGTAAGAGAGTGCATTGTAAAACAGCTAACACTCCTAAAAGAGGGGGCCGCTGAAATGCTGGCGGTAACCAAGTTACTCCTGCTTCTTTTAGTACCAATATCACTAGTGCAGCTTGTGCCAAAATTAACAGTGGCAATGGTAGCGTGTATAAAGCTATTATTACAGGAGGTGGCAAGAGGAGCCGTGTCCCATATGGGTCGAGCAAAAAGTGCCCAGCTCTAATTACACCCACAAAAAGCAAAAGACTATTGGTGAGTATAAGCTCACCACAATGAGGGCAATTCAAGCTGGGAGCTAATACTAAGCCGAGGATTGAACCGGCAGTAAGTAGAAGGAAGAGGGCAGCAGAACCAAACACATGCAGTTCCCATGCAAATGATAATGTGCGTTTCAAATCTGCCCACACTAAAAAGCTGCCATTTGTTGTTTCATGATTTTTAGCTTTGTCTTCGTCTTTGTAAGAAACACAGGGACCCACTCCAGTATCACAGGGATCAATGGGTTGGGCACGGGTAGGAAAGCCAGGGTTTGACTTCAAAGATGGAACTGTTCCCACAGATATTGACTGGTCTCTTTCGGTAAACCGTCTGTCATTTTCAAACACAAAATGTCCATGTCCAATTTGGAGAGGGGAGGTAGTCCTTTGAAAAGTGGGCTTACCTGTGAAAATCAAAAGAGGCAGAGGACATATTATTGAGGTGGAAAATGTATCCTATGACAAAGCATATAACTACATTCAATAATATATAAGCAACAACGACATACACTGAATAGTTCTAAATACTAAATTAAAATGTCATTCCTGGGGTCCGTTCTTCGTACCTCGCTTAAATGATCTAAGATGATTTGGCAGATCCTGGATCTTTTAATCTTGATAACTGATCTCTCGCTAATTTGGTTCTTCAAACAAGTTCGCTAATCAGATTAGAATGTCTGTATAAACAGATCTGAGATCGCTGCGTGTGTTGTGAAGGACAGATCTGTCGATCCTCGAAATCATGATCAGCAATGCAACGATTGGCTGACGGCACAGCTGCGCAATGACATCATCTGATTAATATTCAATTATCCATGTGAGCAAAATTACATCAAATTAGCAGTAAACGGTTTGTTAAATATGACACTCAATAACCTTCAACATTTGTTGTGAGCTGCAGGCTTTACACTTTCATGTGTCAAGAGTATTCATCATGTATTTCAATGCATATCAATGTATTTAGTTCTACATTTAGAAAAGATTTTCTTTATTATAGTAGCCATTTTTTAATCGGTGTAAAGAATAACTGGTTGTTTACAAAAGCATTTTGATATTGGTAATGGCGTCTGTAACTTTTGTGAAGCATCAAATCACCGTCATATTAACTGTAAAAACATGTTCATGACTGCATAAATGTATTATTGCTATAAAAAAAAGTCATATTGTGCATGTTTATTATACCCAATTTGTACTAAGCGATCTAAAAAGTTCATATCAATAGGTTTTCTCTGTACACCACCAGGTGGCAGTCTTTGTACTTTCATTTCAAGGGTGCAGATTGCACAAGTTTTATTAATATATATAACTTTATTTATTTTATTAATAACTATAACTTTATGTATATATAGTTTAAAAAATATTTACTCTTTTCCCGAGTGTATATAACTACTACTGTAAGAAAAAATCAGTATTCGGTACATACTTTCTGTATTATATTTGCTTGAACTGAGCCGATCTAATCCTGTTTATATAAATTGAACCTGCTCCCGATCAAGTTTAAGCTAGCAGAACTGTTGCTATGACAACAACTCTCGGATCAGCTTTGAAGAACAAAACGATCCTGGATCGTGTCAAATCGTCAACATCCAAATCCAGCTAGCTGAGTAATCAAACAATAAACAAACAAACCTCTAGTGCTGTTTATTTTAGTCACTGTTCCTTTAGTTCCAGGATCACTTGACTGGTCTATGCTGATTTTTGCTGAACTCGTTGACTGTAAATTATTTTTTGGTTGTGAATAGTTAAAACTAATGACGTCCACTCCTGGTAATGGAGCCTCTAGTTGTAGATTACTTATGCTTGTGCTAGGAGAGGTGGTTTCAACATCTGATCGCACAGTGGTAAACTCTCTTTTTGGCTGCGTTCTTGTTGGAATGGTTATGCCCGGCCTATCTGAAAAACAAAGAAAGAAGAGAATATGAGAAATGGCAGGACGTTAATTTTTTTACTCAAGTAATACAAAATAACTTTAAGAGATATCATTAAAGGGTCACGAAACACCAAAACACATTTTTTGAGCTGTTGACAGTCGTATATGTGTCCCACACTGCTAAAAACATTATTAGGACACCTATATTTCACTAAAAAGTGTAAATTGGTTGTTTTTGCGTTATTTCAAGCAAATTCGTACTTCCGGTTTAAAGCGAATTTTTGAAGCTGAGTCACGGCCATGACATAATAGCGTGTATTCCAGCGTGCAGACTGGACGCCTGTGCCAGAGTGTGTCTTATTACGTTTTACAGTGTGATTCATTAATGCATGAGTAAGGCTTGGTTCAAACCAATCAACGCGCTCTATTGTGCAACTTCATTAATATTCATTACTGTCACAGTTTTTAGACGACAGAGGTGCCACATTGTGCTGGCAAAACAAGCGTGAAGTGTTGCTTTTATAGTTTGCTGCCGTTAAGTTTTGTTTTCATTTTCTCTCTGTGAGAGCTCATCTGGAGTCACGTCTGGATTAACAGTGTACGCGACGCTCGACAACAATAACTTACGTGTCTAAGGAGGATTATTGTTTACCTGAGAGCTGTTCTCATCTGCAAACGCTGAGATCCGGATTCGCTTGTAGTCTCCTTTTAATAAAGACGCGGCTCTAGTTGCTGGTGATTGTCCAATCTCTACAGATTTGGTAAGTGAGCGACCAGTGATCTTTGTTTATTCAGTTTGTTCGTATCGAACTAAGTTAACTATTGCACCGAGTGTAAACATGTTAGCATCACAACCAAACTTTAACCTCATGTAGGATTTTCACCGCATTTAGTGACCGGAATAACACACGCGGCTTTCTGACGCTACCTGCCGAGTACATCTAAGTTTCCGGTATCAAACATTGCATGAAAAATACACACTTAGAGCAGTTCCTCAAATCAAATATCTCGTTTGTCGCGAGGGACATGAATGAATTTCCTGAATAAAAGAGCCAAACTGCAGTTAAAGTCCACCATTTAATAATTTGGCAAATAATTTGACTACAGATGTCCATGTAAACACAGTCACTTTGTCCCCTGTGTGTGTGTGTGTGTGTGTGTGTGTGTGTGTGTGTGTGTGTGTGTGTGTGTGTGTGTGTGTGTGTGTGTGTGTGTGTGTTTTGACTCTGAAAGTCAGCGCGCCCAAATAGACACTCCCACACCAAGGCTGCATCCGAAACCGCATACTTCCATACTATATAGTACGCTAAAATCAGTATGCGAGCCGAGTAGTGTGTCCGAATTCATAGAATTCGAAAATCAGTAGGCGAGAAGTACCCGGATGACTTACTACTTTCGGCGAGATTCTGAAGTGCGCATCCCATGCACACTGCGCTATCCCATAATGCCCTGTGAGAGAATTCATGAATGAAAGTGAAACGACGCAACTGACGCAGGTACGTCACGTGACAAAATGGTGGATGTAGTACGTCCGAATTCCATTTATACTTTTCACATTCATACTGTATAGAACGTACTTTTCTAATGGCCGAGTAGTACGTTTAAATTCAAATGCAATACCTGCTGAGTAGTAGGCGGTTTCGGACGCAGCCCAAGCCTCTTTTCTTCCTCCGACACTCCCCCCTAAACAAAGCTGGACACGCCCACTTTTCTGACTTTTTCCGAAGTAGAGGTATAAAAACACCCTGCTGAAACGAGGGGGTTTCATGGCCCTTTAAGGTGAGACTATTTAGGACAATCAGCAATACATAATCTTTACCTTTTTCCGATACAGTCCTGTTGGCATCCAGTTGGATCATCCCATTGGTAGTGGATGTAAGCTTTTCATTAAGTGCTACAGTTGCAGAAAGGTTGGTCTGGAGTGAAGTGTTGAATGTTGGATTAGTAGGTGTTGAGGTCAACCTATCAAGTACACCATGAGCAGTCTGACCTTGTGGTCTATACTGGATATTTTTACTGGGAGATGTTAGAGTCTCTGTTGATGACCCAACAAAAGCTTTTTTATCAGCTATTGTCACATCATCTGATCCAACTGTTGACAAGCCCTTATTTTTAAATTGAGTAACTGTGACATCTTTAGTCTCTTTTTCTTTTTCCTCTTGTGGTAGTGTGGCGTTTTGGTAAGGACCTCTTTTGACTCGGTTTTTGGGTGATATAAAAATCTGACCTTTAGACCTAATAATGCTGCTATGTGGTATTTTTGCTGACAATTTGTCCTCAGGATTTCTTTCAGTCCTTTGATTTGAAAGCCTACTTGATGTAATGAAACCTTTCCCGTAGAAACCTTGGAGAAAAGGTCTGGAAACTTCTAATCCCGTACTGGCAGTCAGTGCATGATCTGTTTTTCTGACAATCACATGAGTCTGTTTGTGATCTGAATGGGTGGTAAGAGGAGAATGAGAGTTTCCATAGACATGACTTAGAGGCAGTAGAAAAAACAGTTGAAGTAGAAGCACCATACTGGCAATCTGCTGTACAGCAAAATTGCCTATGGTTGTGGCTGTTGGTTGAAATCATATGCTCGTCTGTTTCTGCTTAATTCTTCTCCTGTAGAGAAAACCAAATAAAAAAAACATTAAAAGTTAATTCCCACATATGAGTGAAAACCAATTATTTGTTATTACTAGGACCAGGCAGAATCTGCAAACATGTTTTGCTAATTGTACGCAAAATTTTGTAAAATTTTCGGCAGATTTATGAATGAATTTGGGGAGTTTTATAACTAAAAACTAAATATATTAATTATGAAATAAAGAATAATACATTTTTAACTTTTAATTTACTGAATGAACTTGATTTAACTTTATTGAGTTACATTTATTAATTGATTTTTTTTATTAACTTTATTACTGAAAAAAACTAACTAAATAAATTAATTTTAATACCTTTTTAAGACTTTTTAAAGACCGTGTCAGAATATTTTAAGACCTCATAGCCACTTTAAGTTCTATCTAGTATCAAAGCTTTAACTTAAACAGTTGTAGTTAAATAAATCAATGCAGCAAAACCACACAACAAAACTCAGATAAGCTCGGAAGAAACAAAGCTTGAAAGAATAAATTAGGCTGTTGTTTTCAGCGACAGGCTTCAGCCACTGTTTTAACTCGTCTTTCTCCAGCCAGAAGTACGCAAACTTACATTTTCCCATTTTGCCATCTGTTTCGCTCTATGCAGGGCCGGCGCGTCCATAGAGGTGACCTAGGCGGCCGCCTAGGGTGGCAGTATAGAGAGGGCGGCGTCCGCAACACCTCCCTTACCACCCGCGTCCTCAGTTATGTCCGCAACACCTCCCTCACCACCCGCGTCCTGAGGTATGTCTGCGACACCTTCCTAACCACCCGCGTTCTCAGATATATTCGCAGATAGGCGACAGAATAGAGAGGGCGGCGTCAGCGACACCTCCATCAGCACCCGGGTGTCCTCAGTTATATTCGCGCATAGGGCGGCAGAACAGAAATTCGCAACACCCGCTCATCCTCAGTTATATCCGCGCATAGGGCAGCAGAACAGAGGTTCGAGACACTTGCACGTCCTTAGTTACATCCGCGCATAGGGCGGCAGAATAGAGAGGGCGGCATCCGTGACATCTTCCTCCCTCCTAGGGCAGCAGAACAGAGGTTCGCAACACTCGCGCGTCCTTACTTATATCCCCGCATAGGGCGGCAGAATAGAAAGGCCGGCATCCGTGACACCTCCCTCCCTCAGCACCTGCGCGTCCTCAGTTATATCCGTGCATAGGGCAGCAGAACAGAAGTTTGCGACACTCACGCGTCCTTAGTTGTATCCGCGCATAGGGCGGCAGAATAGAGAGGGCGGCGTCCGCGACACTTCCCTCCCTCCCTCAGCACCCACGGGTCCTCAGTTATATCCGCGCATAGGGCAGCAGAATAGAGGTCTGCGACACCTCACTTCATTTTCATAACCAGTCACTTTCGTTTTCACATTGGGTTTAAGGGCGGCGTGATCGTCCTCTGCCTAGAGCGGCAGTTCAGCTTGCTCCAGCCCTGGCTCTATGGTTTTGCTACATGTGAAGACCGTCACATCACCTTCCTGCGTTTGTCGCAAATTACGTGATATCACCCGGATGGAGGAGCTTGGTTGGACGAAGCCCTGGCCTGAACCAATTGTGTGTATTGAGCACCCAATTGTTAATACTAGGATATTTTAATATCTAATATTTTTAATATTAGGCTTTTTTGGAGTCAAACATTTTGGACAATGCGATTAAGTTTGATAAAAGTTTTTAATAACTTTTAAGGGCCTAATTTTCTCATAATTAATTTATCAACTTTTAGTACCTATTGAAACCCCACAGATACCCTGTAAATCAGGGGTCTCCAATCTCAGTCCTGGAGGGCCGGTGTTTCTGCAGGATTTAGCTCCAGCTTGCCTTAACACACCTGCCTGGGTGTTTCAAGTATATCTAGTAAGACCTTGATTATCTTGTTCAGGTGTGTTTGATTAGGGTTGGAGCTAAAGTCTGCAGGACACCTGCCCTCCAGGACCAAGTTTGGTGACCCTTGCTGTAAATGTATCTTAAAATAAAATATATTGTTTAAAGAGGAAAAAAGTTTTTGTTTTTTTTACCCAGACATCTAAAAAGAATATATTTTAGAGCAGTAATCACAATTCCATAAAACCCTGATATTTTTATGAATGCCGTCAGAATTTTATATTGACCCATTTGGAACAAGTGGAGGGAGTAAATAATGACAATCATTAAACATAATTTGTGTAAACTGAAAAGTACCCGAAAATAAATATTTCGGAAATCATGTAGGTTTAAATGTTAACATTTATTTTCTGCATAAATTTTTGTTGTTGTTGTTGTATGCTAAAAGCTTTGAGTTAACACATAATTATAAATATTTGAAGAGCTAAAACATTTTGTGAGAGTAATAGAAAGATGTTAAATACATTAAGAAAAAGGTAAACTAACTGGATCTACAAAAAAAAAAAAGTGATACATTCCGCATGGCCGCATCGAGACAGTTCCCAGTTGAAAGAGAGTCTGTCACTTCAGCTAGCCTCCCTCTTTTCCTGTCTTGCACGTTCAGATTCCATACAGTCAGACATTTCGATACATTTCCGTGAATGTTTCCAGACGCAGACAGAGGCCCATTTGTAGGCAATGAGATCAGAGCTGTGTCCCATTTACCCTTTTTTACCATGTAAGCGTGTGTGACTGAACTCAGAATTAACAAGGTATTACAGCCTTCCCAGGAATCCCAACAGTTCAGAGACGTATGGATTATTTGGGTTTGATTTGGCTTAAGATGACAGAAAACGTGTAGAGCAGCCATTCAACATAAACAATTCAACTCCCTAGGAATGTCTCATTTATAATTCCCGTCTAGTCATAAGATACCCTCCAATGCAAATGAAACCACACTTATAAATGCATGCACACATTTGTTACACCTGACTAAATACCAAATACTTCTATGGTGTTTCTTTTTTTTCTCTAATCATAGCATAGGTCTACTGCTACCATTAAAAACAATTAACCCTTTGGTGTTCCTTATTTGGGAATCACACTTGTGTTCTTTGCAGTCAAAAAGGGGCAAATGCCTGTAAAGTTTTGTTGTTTTTTGGTAAAATCAAATGTTTTTTGTTTGTTTGTTTGTTTGTTTGTTTGTTTGTTTGTTTGTTAATATTTTTTCTATATTATTTAGAATTTTGAGAGGAATTTGTGGTAATAATTAATATTTATACAGCAGTTAACATCCATTTTCCCCCATTGAAAACAATGGATTTTTTTGTAATTTTTATTTTTTATTATTTTTTAACTTATTGCATTATTTTCAGGTAAAATAGAGACTCTACAATTTAAAAACAAAAGGCATATTAGCACCACCTGGTTGTAAAAAAAACATGATATGGTGTAATCACTAGGTTCTAGTATTACTATCTATACAAACCTGCTTGTGAATTCCTTAGTTGTTTAGTTATTACTAAGGAATTGTGGATTTGAATATGCATTTAGACAATCTTTTTAAGACAAGTTTGAGATATTTATTGCTTGAAAAGGTGATTTGGAATGTTATTTTTTGTATTATGATTACAGTAAAAACGGTATTGCTATAAAGAGACTAAACAAAAGCCTTAACATTTTGCATAACACTGTGTGTGTGTGAGTGTATTTCACACTCAAGAGTGTCACCTCTTCACTCCTGTACAATTTCTTTCAGCATCATGGTAGATTTGTTGATTGTACAAACACAAATTCTCTAAATGTTCATATTCTTGCTTTTCCATTCATTTTCTATGTCGGTCATTTTTAACCACAAAGACCACAAGTGTGACTGTTTTTTAGCATGCTTCAACCATCGATTTTAATTTGTTGTGTGTTTGCAAACCAAATGCCAACAAAGTCAATGAGTTTTAGATCACAGGTGTCAAATCCAGTTCCTGGAGGGCCGCAGCTCTGCACAGTTTAGTTCCAACTCTGCATCAACACATTTACCTGTAAGTTTCAAACAAGCCTAAGGAACTCAAATAGTCTGATCAGGTGTGTTTAATTAGGGTTAAAGCTAAACTGTGCAGAGCTGCGGCCCTCCAGGAAATGGATTTGACACCTGTGTTTTTGATCATTACAATGATTCTGTAATTAAATTAAATGTGCTGTGGGTAAGTATTTGACTCTTCTGAAGCATAAAAATACCATAATATGGGTGCAGATATTTAAGAAACATGCTAAGTAAACATGTCTCAGAGATTCAGAGTTCCACATGAGGTGGTTATTGATTAGCAAATAATATAAATATTACAAACGTAAACATTAGGTGAGCAGGTTACACTGTAATGCTGTGCAGCAACCACATGCTACCACATAAGATTTGCAGTGCAAGTGGTGCTCGCTGCAGAGCCATTTGAGGAGAGGTGAGCTCCAGAGAGGGGGAGCTTAAGCTTGAGCTCCACCTTTTTTGCACTTCTTCTACGAGTGATGTCACTGGGGGTAGGGTTAGGGGTGGGGTTGGTGTACGCATTAAAACAGCTTACAGGAGGAGGAGCGACAGCTCATGCTCCCCCTCTCTGGAGCTCACCTCTCCACAAATGGCTCTGCAGCGAGCACCCTCTCAGTGATGAGCAAATTGGCTGTTTGCACCAAATGAAGCACGACAGAAATTTAAATACAACCACTCAGAAGCACAGAATAGTGCACTCACTGCACTCCAACAAATCTAATTAATACATATTAAACCTCTTTCACATTATTAAATGTACATGCTGAACCACAGATGTGTGTTGGCTTGCTCTGAGTCAAAGTTCTAAAGTTCAATTTCAAACTGTTTATTTTATGAGGTGAACTATCTGCTTTTCGTATAGAGTAATAAATGTTATGTATAATGGCATTGAAACTCACGTTGTTAGCATTTAACACTAAATAAAACACATAAGGTGTGCCTGAGGTGATCATCGCCCTAGTTTTCTATTGTTCAGCTGCAAAAAATAGAAGAAACCGCTTCTAAAATATACATTTCAGGTGTTGTTTGGAACAAAAACTCTTTTTAATATGGAAAATATTCCTATCGCATGCCGTTGCT